GGTCCTGGATTGTTTTTTATTTTTTTTCATCTTTGATACCGCATAATTTTCTTCAATATCTTTTTCTTGATTTGAGAGAGTTGATTCAAAATCTGTTTTGATTCCGCATTCTTTTTCTACTTGATTTTGTTTTTCTAATTCAAGATATTTTTTTTCATTTGAAAATATTGATATAAAGATATCTCTTTTTTTCTTTCCAGTCGTTTTTTTATTTTTATTTCCACTGGCATTTTCATTTACATTAAGATTTAAAAGGAGAAATTTGATTGGTATGTACCATGGTTTAATCTTATACGAAGTATAAAGTATCAAAAATTCTGGGAAAAACCAAAGTTCGAGATTCGATATGGGACAACTTAGTATTTCTTCATTCATTCTCATCCAATCAAAAAGTTTTTTTTTTGATGGATTCATTTCTTGATTTTGATGAATCGTGGGATAAAAAAGATCTTTCTTGTCGATTTTCTCAATTATTTGATAATTATTAGCCCTAGGTTTAGTATATTTATTACTGTTGGCGTCAGTATCCATATTGATCCAGGCCCTAATATCCATTTTCTTTCTAAGACAAAAATTGAGAATTATCCAATCGAAATTTTTTCTATCCGGATTGTTCTTTATATCTATAATATTATCTTCTACTAGATAATTATTGATAGGGATACCTACCAGCATATTAAATAATTTTCGTTTATGTTCGGTATAATTATAAAAAATCTCTTGGTTATTATTTACTTGTAATGGTAATCCATAAATAGATGAGTTTTTCTTATCTTCATAATTAATAAAATTATATGATAAAAGATCATATCTATATTTTTTTTTAACATTTTTTTTTTCGGAGTTAATTAATGGCTTTTTTTCATATGAATCATATTTGTTTAAATGGTTATTTTGAGCTATAGAGTGTTGATTTACTATATTTATACCTTTTTGTGGTACTAATCTAGACTGAGATAAATTATTTTGATAATAACCCCTTAAGCAATTTTTCCATTGATTTATTTCATAATTGGGGATGTTCTTATGTCTTAATTCGGAATGAAATATTTTTTGTGTTCCAAGAAAATAATCCTTTATTTCATTCTTAAGAAAAAGAAAAGCTCCATTATATTGAAAGACAGATCTTAATCTTAACTTATATAAATTAAAAAAGTTAAAACCCCGGCTTTGTGATAATTTGTAAAAGACATATGCTTGTGACAAATAAGATAAATTACAAAAAGTTTCCAAGTTCTTATTATTAATATTAGAAAGTGACTCTTTTATAGTCGAAATAAACTGCGTTATCTTTTGATTTGTTTTATCAATTTTTTCTTGATTTCTTTCATTATTGTAAATATAGTTATTATAGGAACTGGTTTTATTAACAATTTTTTTTAATGATTCAAAAAAATAAAAAAAAAGTTGTGCATTTATTCTAGGAATATTAATGATAAATAAAAAGATATTTCTATATATTCTTTCAATGAAAAATTTTATAAAATAATTTGATTTACGGATTAGTCGAACATTTCTTCTTTTTAATAGCTGCAAAATATTTTTTGGTGATTCCAATCTTTTATCATTATAACTCATTTTGTTAGAACTAATATTTATATGTGGACTTATAAATCCTTTTTTGTTGTCTTTTGAAATTTTTTGTATTTGATTTATGGTTGTGTTTGTTCTATTAGTTAGATCTTGTATTTTTTTTTTTGTTAATGAAAAAGTTGTCCAATTTGTAGATTGAATGTTAATGGACGGTTCATGAATTAGCTCGTTATCGATTATCAAATTTTTTTCTTTTTTGCTTTCACTCAATTCATATAGTTCTATTTCTCTTAATCCAACTAATAGAATTGGGTTCATTTTTGAAAGTTCTTTTATTATTTTTTTTAGAAATACAATATTTTTAATAACCCATTTTTTTCTTTCTTTTGAGACATTTAGAAATAATTTTGTTCTTTCTTTTAAAATTATTAGAATTCTAAAACATTTCTTTTTTAATTTTATAAGTCTTTTTTTGAGTTCTTTAAAAATAGGTTCAAAAAATGAAAGTTGTTTTCTGGGCGAACCAAAAGGAAGTTCAGTTTCCATTCCCCAAACTGTTAAAAAACAAAAATCATTTTGTTGTTCTTTCTTTTTCATTGGATCCTTATAATTGTTTCGTAGCTTAAGCTTAGATTTGTGCCAAGGTTTCAGACGAAAAGGAAATAGGATCTTTATCTGAATACCGTCTATTAACCAGTTTTTCGGAAATTCTTTTTCTGCTAATTGAACACCATTATAAGTGCAGTTAACATGCACTTCTCTTTTCCAATCCTTTACATCCTCCGACCATTCAGGAAATTGAAATAATAGTATACGACCAATATTTTTAACTATTATCAATGAGGGTAATATAATATATTTTCTCAGAATTGATTGGATTACTAATACAAAACCTCTTATTACTTGAGCAACTACAATGCTATCCCAGGTTTCCGCTATTTCTATACGTGCATTCTCCCTTCTTTTTTCTTTTTCTTTTTTTTTATCTTTTGATTTTTTCTCTCTATAGTCTGAAATTTTGAATTCTGGCTTTTTCCATAGCCAATGTTGAAATTTTTTTTTTATCGGCCTCAACATATCAAAAGAAAAATAAACATCTTTGTCGATTCTGTCCAAAAAAGGAAGGGAGTGTACGTTTGCTTGAAAGGTTTTCCAAATAACTGTTTTACGCCTTTGAGCGCGCATTGAGCCTTTGATTATGTCTCGACGAAAATCCGATTGTTGCGAATAACGTATCAAAGCAATGTCGTCCCTTTCATCATTATTATTAGTATCTTGGGAATTACTATAACCATTGGTATTTTCGAGTTCATGATTAAAAATCAATACACGTTTGCATTTTCTTGAACGAATCTGAGAATCCGTTCCCAAAGCTTCTTCGTTTTCTCCCTCCTCTTGTTCCAAATCGTCGATTAATTTGTATGACCATTGCGGAATTTTTTTTCTGATTTCTTTTATCCCAATAGCTTGTTTTCTAATTGTTTTATTGTTAGGATCCGTTAGAAATCTTTCAAATAGAAATCTTATTTTTTTTTCTCGTCCTTCTAAATTAATTCGTAATTGTTTATGTTCAGGAAGTAAATAAAATTTTTTAAAATTTAAACTTGATGTTGGTTTTCCATTAAATTCATTGATTAAGTTCAAGAAAAAATTCATTTCTGTTGATAATAATCTTTTATCAATTCTATCAAATGGTTTTTTTTCTTCAAATTCTAAATAATTAATAATAAGAAAGAGACCGTGGATCTTATTTATCCAACCTCTTTCTATGTAATTTTGTATGGAAACTTTATCTTTGATTGAAAGTGAAAACCTTTTTTTAATTTGTCCACGGTATGCCCCATTCAAGAAAGGATCATATACTTTTGGTAAGTATTTTTTTTTCGTATTATCATGACACAATCTAGGTCTTTTTTCTAGTACATCCAAAATAAGGAATTTACTATCTAGAGCTTTGTCAAGATCCTTGATTATATTTATAAATTTGTTGTTTAGGTTTTTTCTTTTTTGTTCATTAGTATAACTCCAATTATTATATAATTCATCAGAGTCAAGTTTATCTGTTGTGAACAGAGACATCTTTCTTTGTATCATTTCGAAAAAAGTTGACAAACTGGGTGGGTACGTAAAAGATATTCTTTTTTTTCCATCGCTTTCACATGTATGAAAAAAATATTGTGACATTTCATTTTTTACAGCATTTTCAAATTTATCGTTTTTGATATAACGAAATGGACGATTCCAGCGTTTATAGTCGAAAAGAATAGTCACAAGAGGTTTTTCAAACCAGAGGAGTTCTTTTTTTTCTTTAAATATTTCTAACTTCGAATTTTCTTGATTCCGATCCACATCCAGATAATAAGTTTCATAAACGGGTTTATTTTTATATCGTGTCTCTTTAAAATCGATTTTTTCCGGATCCTCCTTTTCTTCCGAAAAAAGGGAAGGAGAAGGATCTTCTTCGGTGGATCCCTCTTGTTCCTGTTTAGTCCCCTTCGTTTCTGAAGTTTTTTCTACATCTCTTTCTTCCTCACTTTCCCCCCTTTCTTCCGTTTCTTTCAGTTTCTTAGTAAGAATGGGTGACGGTATTCTGCCTAAATAGTAGACACAGGTAATAAATAATAGAATACTAAAGATTCGAACCATAAAATTTAAGTAGACAACTTATTATTTTTCAGTATAAACTTAATACTATTCATTATAATATTAAAATATAATATATGATTATTATAAACATAATAGCAAATGTTCAACCTTATAACTATAATTACTATACTATAATAAATAGTATAATTAATAGTATAATGAATTAATATGGTTTCTTACTTATTTATTAAAAAAAAGAAAAATATTAATAAAATCTCTATTCTCCCTTCAAATATGAATACTACCGTGCTAGTTTTATGAAAAAAACAAAGCCCCTTATCGGATTTGAACCGATGACTTACGCCTTACCATGGCGTTACTCTACCACTGAGTTAAAAGGGCATATTTGATTCAATTCCTGAATAAGCCACTAATCACTATGTGTTTAGTCTATATACATATTATATGTATATAAATACATCGTATACGTTATAATATATCTTAAACGTATAGTGGTTCATTCAGGAACGATAAATTTGATTTACATAATGAGTATAGGATATACTTGTAAGTATAAGTAAAAAATTGTAAGTATAAGTAAAAAAAAAGGGGGTTTAGTGATATTTGATTTCATAAATATCAATCAATGCAAGGAATTGTTTCAAGACAGATTCTAATTGCCATCATAACGAAATTCATTTGATTGATACAGGTACCTACCAATTCAACCTAGATCCAAACTATTTCATCGAATCATTAATAAAGCGATTCAGCTTGCCCCCCAAACCAAATTCTTAGAAAAAAAAGAAAAAAAAAAAAAGATTTATTAAATAAAATAATATTAACATTATTAATAATTATTGAAATTATTAATAATATTATTTAAATTCTAAATTTAAAGAAAAAAAGAAAATAGATTTATTTATGGAATTATAAAATGTCGATTAGAATGAACGATTCAGGAATATAAATAATCAAAGAATTCTCTATAATCGTGAAAGACAGAAAGATCCTTCGCGTTGAGTCATACGATTCCATTATATTGACAATTTCAAAAAACTATTCATACTATGATCATAGTATGATGACGGTTGGGCAAGTATGCCCCCATCGTCTACCGGTTCAGGACATCTCTCTTTCAAGGAGGCAGCGGGGATTCGACTTCCCCTGGGGGTAGGGTACTACGAAAGGAAGTTGATCGTGGATTATCACTAAGCCTGGATTGATTCTTCCCGGGTCGATGCCCGAGCGGTTAATGGGGGCGGACTGTAAATTCGTTGGCAATATGTCTACGCTGGTTCAAATCCAGCTCGGCCCAATAATTCGCCGATCCACCATGAAATGATATAAGCCATTTGTTGTTCTCCAGAAATGCTCGATCCCAGTCAAAATCTCTGATATTGATATATCTTTATCCCTATCGCTATTACTCTATTTATTTTTCTTTTTTCCAACAAGTTTTGATCTTGCTAATGATCTATATTCATATCAAGATCTGGAAGTGTAAAGTCTAATGAAAAGAGTAAAGAAAAAAAAGACCTTTTTCATTGAAAGATTGACTATCCAATTAATTTGGAAATAACGACAAGATTATTAGTAATCACTGCCTCTCTTGCTAAAGTTCATATCCATATCGAAAGTATTTGAATAAAAACATAAGAATATGTATACTGTACACCTTATTTTATTATGTTATTTCCTTGGGATTGTAGTTCAATTGGTCAGAGCACCGCCCTGTCAAGGCGGAAGCTGCGGGTTCGAGCCCCGTCAGTCCCGATGGATCCAAATCCAATAAAAAAATACAGCAATTCATCTTCCATTTTTCTGTTCTGTGAAAGAAAGTACAAAGAGTAGAATTTCATTGCCAACAGGAATCCCTTTTCTTTTTATCTTTTTATTTTTTTAATTTCTATTGTTTGGCTTTGTTTGGAACCAATGATAAGTGTAAAAGCGGTTAGATGATACTTCATCAAATGATTGTACAAGGAGGGCGCTAGTTTATAGAAAGAAAGGGTGGAAAAGAATGAAAAATATAAATCAAAGTTAAAGTAAAGGGGTTTTTGATTGTATCAAAATTGACTTTGGAATTCGATATGGATAAAAGATCTTCCTATGTTATATTATTCAATTCTTGACGATGAATCAATTTGTCAGATATTGTTATTCATGATATTGATCCGATTCGATTATATCTCGATGTAATTCATCTCATTGAATTTATAGACAAAAGATTTATTATCTCTATGGGATTAAATCCCGAGTTATTGCGAATTAAAGAAAAACGAAAGGATGAAATTATGGAAGTAAATATTCTCGCATTTATTGCTACTGCACTGTTCATTCTAATTCCTACTGCTTTTTTACTTATAATATACGTAAAAACAGTAAGTCAAAGTGATTAATTTAAATTAAACTTGTGACTTTTTAGTTTTTATCAATGATTGAAGAGAAGAAATAAAATAAAAAGGATTCAAATTTCACGTTTTAAATGAAATCATCGAACTAGAATCAGCAGTATTCTATGAGATACTAGATAGTATGGTAGAAAACGATTTTTCTACCATACTAGTATTATTATTGTACTGTATAAAGTTTGCTGTATGACGATACAGGTTAATTTAATATATATCAATTGACATTATATAGATATAAATTCCATATAGAATGTACATAGTGTCATGTCCCAATCCTATTTCTTTGCTTCATCTATTTCTATTTGATTTATTTGATTTGTGTTGATTCCAATCAATTTGAAATAATCGAAAGACAGCTCTTACTCTTACGATTCTAATTCCTAGATTTCTTATCTTTTTTAATATGAATTCCGATATCCATTGAAAAAAAGAATCAAATCAATGAAAGAAAAAGAGGTATGGGTATAATAAAAGAAAATCAAGTAATCTTCTTGTTAGCATTCCAACAAAGAAGTAATTGATTAACCAGTTGACAGAGTATCCAGAGGTTCCATGGGAACTTCTTCGGATTTCGAAAAGGATTAATAAACCTCACCAATTTTAACCCTTCAACCATTATATGAAATGAAAAAAAAAGACCAGCATAAATAAAATTTTTAAAATAATAAAACAAATGGTAAGTGCGCAATATGTGACTTGCCCAAGACAATATTTTCTTATGTGTAGTATCTCCTTGTACAACCACTATGTCTATGTTGTTTCCCGTAAAAAAGTGTATCCACGTAATGTAATAACAGAACTCTTTTCTCTTTGAAGAGGAAAGACGGAAAAAAATAACAAATAAAAAGTAAAAAAAAAAGTAAAGTATATAAAAGGCTTTCGTTCTTACTCTTACTCATTGTCGATATAGAAAATTTATGAAGAATTCGATTGGAAAAGATTTCATACCATTTGGAGTACTTTCGAAATACGAACATAGGAATAATTGAAATATTTGTTTGATTGAAAGAGTTCATATGTTATTTATAGAATACATTACTCCACTAGAATCCAATACATATAACTTCGAAATGAAAATTTTTTGAAATTCAATTTTTAAATTGAAATAGTGAATTAAAAAAAAAAGTCTTTGCAGAACGATCTATAAAAAAAATTGATACAGTTTGATTCCTAAACTCAATTAGTAGTACTTCTAGAGTCCACTTCTTCCCCATACTACGAGTGAAAGGGAAAAGGTAAAGACTACCATCAAAGCAGCCCAAGCGAGACTTACTATATCCATGTGAATTATGTCCTCGATCTCTATGAAGGAATTATTCAATTATTGTTTACTAATAATAGTAGAATTACCAGCGCAGAGTCAAAAGGGGGTTCTGATCCAACACCATTGATGAAAAAATCCAATAAATCCAATTAGACCAAGTTCTAATGATTATACTAAAAGATCTCTAGTATAATCGGAAAACATTAAGTACAAGCAAAATAGGCAGAGACAGCCCTTGAAGTCTCAAAAGTATCAAAGGAATGTTAATAATATGTCAGAATAATAAGACCTATTCTTTCTTTTGTCGCCCTTCATTTCATTAATTCAAAAGTATAAAAATATAGAATCAAGCTAGATCATTATCTATCGCATACTCCTATTTTATTTCTTTTCGATTTTTCCCTTTTATTTGATCTCAATCTTACCATCTTCGATTGTCGCTATGAACCAATCGAAGACGTCCTATTACGTTCTTGACTCGAGATTATCGAAAAGTTCAAATTTATTTTTGTACTTTAGTTAAGTTAAAACTTTAATATATTAATATATAATATATAAATAAGTAAAAGTATATAAACTAAAAGTTTATATAAATATAAATTTAAGTTAAAGTAAAAGCCAATTAGCCATTCAACCGAATTACTATTGAATGAATGTCAGAGTACTCAGAGACTTTCATGAGTATGTATACAAAGTATCTTCTGCTCTTTCCGCAACTCAAAATTTCATTAGATTCTCCGTCCGGCTATCCAATCTAATTCAAGACCCAGTCAGTAGACACTACATTATCAGTAGACACTACATTAGTAGTGGAAGGGCGCTATCATATCAAACTTTACCAGTTCTTTTTGACGACTATAATCTTTTCCTAAACCCAAGGACTTTAAGATGTACTTGAATTTAAGATTTCTCACGAAATCCGTTTTAAAGTCAAATGAGATGGCCGATTGAAATGACTAGTTTTAGAAAAGCTTTTAAAGAGTATTTAAAATAAGAGTTCAAATGCTATTCGATTTGAAGGATATTCCTAAAAGGTTTTATCTTAACTAAAATTAAGAAAAGCTTTAAGAAATTTAGTGATTCACTTATTTGAAATTATTGTTACAAATTATGAAAGTATTCCTTCTTATAAAAAAAAAAAAAATGTTCCGCATATTTTAAGAAACCCCAGTAAGTACAAGTTAAAAAGTTTAAGTTACAGTGGCGGCCTCATAGGAGGGGCGTCACACCCCTTGCATCAAGATACAACCAAGTCCACTCCCCGAGGTGTCAGAATATACTTCATATGCCTCTTCACTGTCAGAAATAATCAGGACTGGTGCACTTGTCAACCTTACCTTCAATTCCTAAAAAGCATGTTCGCATTTGAATCTGACTTCTTTCCTGGTCAACTGAGGCATCGGTAGGAATGCTAGAGAAGTCCTTTACAAAATGTCGATAATATCCGGTGAGTCTGAGGAAACTTCAAATCTCTGCCACGTTCTTCAGCCTTTCCTACTATAGCACAGTCTCAATCTTGGAAGGGTCCACAGAAATTCTTTGTCCTGATACCACATGGCCAAGGAACTTCTCTTACAACTGGTGTTCACGAAGAGTTTGAAGAACGATTCTCAAATACTACTCATGTTCTTCCCAAGTCTTCAAATAAACCAAGATGTCGTCGATGAAGACAATCACAAATTGATCTAAGTAAGGCCGAAAGACTCGATTCATTAAATCCATGAATGTAGCCGGGGTATTCGTCAACCCAAAAGGCATACCAGGAATTCAAAGTGCCCGTACCGAGTTTAAAAAGTTGTTTTCAGAATGTCTTCCTCCTTGATTTTCAGTTGATGGTACCCAGACCTCAAGTCAATATTAGAGTAATACTGTGATCCACCCAACTGATCGAATAACTCATCGATCCTCGGTAGTGAGTATTTATTCTTCACAGTTACTCTATTCAATTGAGGATAGTCAATGCACAACCAGAGAGATCCGTCATACTTCTTCACATATAATACAGGTGCACCCCAAGGGGAAGTATTATTCCTTATATACCCCTTTTCTGCTAGCTCCTCGAGCTGTTTCCTTAATTCTTTCATTTCTGTAGGTGCCATCCGGTATGAAGGAATAGAGATAGGTCCCATTCCCGGAACCAAATCAATGCAGAATTCAATCTCCTGATTCGGCGGCAAACCAGGTAACTCATCAAAAAACACATCCGTGAACTCATCCACCCTAAGAATCTCCGCATTGTCTCCAATTACCTCGGGTTCACCTTTCAAAGTAAGAAAGGAAGAAAAACAAGCGAGGTTCCTTCATCCCCCAACGATGTACCTTAACAGTCGTTCTTCTAGGACTGGGTTCGTGTCCACTTGATAAGTGATCATTGCTCCGGAATTAGTCATTAGGGTCACTCTTCTACAATAGCAATCAACAATTGCACCGTATTTTGCCAACCAATCCATTCCGAGTACCACGTCAAACAGACTCATCGGAAGGATAATCAAGTCAACTCTCAGTCGTTCACCACCAATCATGATTTCACACGATTTACACACATTCAACACCTCCACACATCCCAGTGGGGAGTTCAACGTCATCGGGATTTCCAAGTTCTCAGATTTCAGTTTCAACATGCGTACAAAAGAACTTGATATAAACGAGTGTGTAGCACCAGTGTCAAACAACACATGTGCTAAAGAGTGAGAGATTAGAATCATACTCTCAACCACCGTATTGCTAGCCTATTCCCCAGAACTACCTCCGGTCAAGGTATACGCTTGTCCCTGCGCTTTTCCCTTTCCTTTATCACCAATATTAGGTCATTGTGTCCTTGGCCTATACTGTTATGGCAGAGGAATCAGTACTGGTCC